CTGAATTAATTTGATGGCCTGCTCCCAGTTGGCTTGTTAGCTCAATTGGTAGAGCGCTGCACTAGTATCGCAGAGGTCAGTGGTTCGAATCCCGTACAGGCCTGAAATTTTTTTCAGGTCTGATTTTCACTATTGCTCAAATAGTGCTTTACTACGAAGGATCGTGCACATATACGATTCTTCGGAAAGTTAAAGAATGAAACTTTCTCCCCATCTGAATTGCGATGGCCCTGAAAGGTACAATGAGGAACACAGCAGTGTGTAGGCATTTACAAAAGCAAAATGTCGATAAGGATTTCGAGAAAATCCTTGCTAAAAAAGCGTACAACGAAATGGCGATGGCTGACCGACCTCGTTTTGGTGCAAATTCGTTACCAATCCCTACAGAAGAATGCTCGTTTTGCATAGCGTGTAGTGTAACAAGGGAGTCAGAGAGCCTTGAGGTAAACTATGTTCAGAGCTCTTCCATGAACGCTCTTTCAAAGATGTTCCGAAGGCTCATAAGGAAATTGGAATGAAAAGTAATCTCTTAACCAACTTTGAACCCAATCCTAATTGGGACCCAAGCACACACATTGTGTTGAGTGAACAATGGGACTTAGGAAAAATAAGAGCTCACGGAAATCCTACTAAAATGTTTTTTTTTTATCACGGCAATTCTAAGTCTTGCGTTTAAAAACTGCTTCTTTTTTTAACACATTAAAGAAATAGAAAAGCGGTAAAAACAAAACAAACAAAACAAAAAAGACAAGCAAGATAAATTCCAAATCTGGGTTACAAAGTCCGGATGCGGATCACTAACTTCAATCAGTAAACAATTTGCGCAAGCTTACATGAGGCACTTATCGATATCGCTATATCAGCAGTTGTTATCTTGTTCCGGTTTTGCTAAACTCAACGCGACGATATAAGCTGGTAAGTTAGGTTCTCTAGCTCTAGCATAGTATTTTACGTAGATAGAGCGATGCAGATACTTGGAAACATTTCTAAATAATGAGCCTCATACGGGGGTGCAACTTAAACTTCTTTGTGTGGTACGATTTTAAAGAGAGAGTAAGCCTATAATACTCGAGCGATGTCACTGACAACACTAATTGTAAACCTTACTAATAAAGAATTTATTAGTTCTTAATATATAATGCGATGTATTTAGCCAGATATGGTTAACTAAACGAAATGTTCGATATAGGTTACGAACTAGACTTTAGTTTCGTTTCAAATGTCGATCTTGATCACAAAGTTTCCTGCTTAAATCTGTTTGTATTGAGTGAATTCAAGCGCAACCAAGTTGATCGACTCCAATGCATTGGTGGACTTGATAAAATTGCTGCACTTAATGAAAGCGAAGTATAGCTTCAATGGCACACGATTTTTGTTACATAGAAAGACGTCTCGGTGATGTTATCAAGTCAAATTGATTTACTTTAACACTAAACACGAATTCATTCGCCCACATCATGAGACCCTACAGGGAGCTAGAATGTTCCGCCTTTTTCTACAAATTTACTCACCAGTGCCGAACTTTTCGTATATTGTTTCGTTTTTCTATTAAAGGGTGTAACAAGGTTTACTGACGCAAGAACTGAGATTAAAGCATGATTTTTATGAATCTGAACCATGCTACAAAACAAATCAGTGACGAATGACTTTCCCAGGAACAAATGTTGATCCTGTTCGGCTTTGATTTAGTTTTATGCCTGACTTGAACTTTCTCAAGCTTTCTCAGTCAACTTTGCATCAAATATGTTCGCTTGTTTGTGCTATTTCGAAATTTCTTTGGGGTGAGTTTCTAAAGAAACTGTAATGCGACGGTGGGGGTATTAGGGATGATTTAGTTCTATCAACCGAGTTTATAACGTAAATTAGCTTTAGTATAGAGTCTTTAAAGCTCACGTTATGAGCATTAGCACTTAGTCAAAACGATGAAGTGTTTTGCGCATTAGCCCATCGACAGAGCGACGAAGCGTCTCGAGTAATAACCCTTCGTCAGAGTGCAGGGCTAGTGCTCGAAACGCTTCGTTGCTCTAAGGAGGCTAACGCTCAAACGTGAACTTTACAAACTATTTACGGTGGCCAATTTACGCCTTTAAACTCAATTGATAAAACTGAGTTATCTCTTAATTTCATTTGGAATTCGTTTACTTGGGGGAAATGGAGTTCATTAGAAGGAAGTGATATCCTGATCATGAGCCAAGAGATAGAGGGCGGAAAACGAAGATGCGTCTACAAATAGACAGAGTTATAAGGCTCTCAAAAATTCGGATAATTCGAGATAATTTATAGTCCATAATCTTGAGCTTTTTTAGTGTTCACGTGTTAAGATACAAACTGTCCTAGTTGAACTAATCTTCAACGCAAATATCATTTATGTTCAAGACAATTCATTTCACGGAAGAAGTTAACATCATGCTCGCCTTAATGTGAATACCTCAGCCTCATTCATTTCATTTTTTTCGTTTGATAGATTGAATGCGAAACAGTGATCGAGTGAAGCAAAGCATAAATGGAGAAAGCGAAAGCTGAGATACACCAGGCTCTTTTTATCGGCATCTCAGTCGCGTCGGTTTTACTACAAACATGTCGATACAGAAAGGCTATCGAGTTGTTGGCTGAATGCTTAGAGTTTCTTAACAAAAACGCTTTGAGGTCAGATGCCGAAACATTGAAGTGCCTCTCAGCCCTTGCTTACAGCAGGTTATCACACATTTATTTCCATATTGGAGATTCTAAGAATGGCTTTAAAAACAGAGAAAAGGCAAACGCTATATATCCCCAGATAGGTGACAATAAAAGTTCAGCTGAATGTCTCGGTAAGCCTAGTAATAGACACACACCTAAGACCCACGACTCGCAAGATAATGGAGAGGATGAAGAAGTTGATGAGGTTTTATCATCTAGGAATGATGGAGACAAGGTAAAGGAAGCAGGTGTTCTTAACATGCTCAGTAATTTGGCTCTTTCTCGTTTCGAATACTTCAGAGCCAGACGCCTTTTAGAAAGATTAGCTGAACTGTGTGGCGAACTTGGGGACAGGAAGAAGGAGAGAGTTGCATTACATCGTCTCGGTGATCTGTATAAGTCACTTGAGGAATATGAACAGGCTCAGAAATACCATAAAAAGGTCCTGCTAATGGCGGAGGAAGATGAGGACACCTACATGCAAGGGGTGGCCACTGGCAGGCTTGGGACGTTATGTAAATTACGCGGTGATTATGTGCAAGCAAAACGCTTGCGGAAGAAGGCACTCGAAATTAGTGTGAAAATCGGAGACAAGGAAGGAGAAATAATTGATAATAGATTCCTCTCTGGTATTCTGCTCAATCTTGGTGAATTCAAAGAGGCTCGAGACTGCTGCCTAAAGGCATTAACTCTTAGTAAAGAAACTGATGACAAAAACCAAGAGGCCTCAGCTTACAGCGATCTGGGTGATGTCCATAGAAAGTTGAAAAGCTTTGAAATGGCGGAGCACTGCTACAAGAGAGCGATAGAATTATACGAAGAAACTGGTGACTTAGAAAATGAAGAAAGTGAAAACAGTCGACTTGGAGATCTTTACCATTTTCTTTGTAAGTATGACCTGGCACTTAAGTGCCATGAAAGAAGTCTTATCATTGAGAAGCAAACTGGTGATAAAAGAGGAGAAGCTACGCAATACTGCAACCTTGGAGCTGCTTATAAAGATCTGGGAAATCATCTCATGGCTAAGGAATGTTGTGAACAGGCGCTTGCTATTAGCAGAGAGTCAAAGCACGAAAGAGGGCAAGCAATTAATCTTAGCAATCTAGGAACTGTCTATCAACATCATGGTGACTACAAAACGGCGTACGAACTCCACCAAAAAGCACTGAACATTAAAATTAAAACTGATTACAAAGCGGAACTAGCTGCTGAATACCTCCACCTTGGAAGTTGTTGTGCGCGTCTTGGCGAGTATGCGAAGGCAACCGAGTTTTTGCATCTAGGACTTGACGTAGCTAGAAATATTGGCGATAGTAATAGTGAGTCAAATATCCTGGCCAGTTTAGCATCTATAGAGGGAATCATTGGCGAGAATGAAAACGCAAAATCTTATTATGGAGAGGCACTTCACATCAGCCAAGAAGCTCAAGATGTGAGACAAGAGGCAATGATGATGTGTAACCTTGGAGTTGTTGCTCATTCTCTTGGTGATATGCCTAAGGCCAAGGAATTGCTTGAAAGATCCTTACGGATAATGAAACAAATTGGAAATAAAGAGGGAGAAGGTACTGCTTTGTCATGCCTTGGAATTATTTATCATTCACTGGGCGAATACCGTAAGGCAATAGAATACAGTGAAAAGGCTCTTTCTATTTCAAGAGAATCAATTGACAAAGAGGGAGAGATGGCACTCATCGACAACTTGGGACAGGTTTACCTGACTCAGAAAGAGTTTAAGAAAGCATATGAATGTTTTACTAAGGCTCTGTCAATCGCTTTAATGCTTAAGAATTCACGAAAAGAAAGCCATAGTTACTGCAACCTAGCGTTGCTGTGCTTTTTGCAAAAAGATTTATCAAAAGCTTTCTGGTATCTCTCAGAATGCATTAAGGCGCTAGAAAAAACGTTGGTATTACACGGAGAAAGCGAACATTTTAAGATAGGCTTTGCAGACCAGCACAACAATCCCTATCGATTAATGGTTGTTGTCCTCCTTAAACTAGGACGTGTTGAACAAGCTTTGGCTGTGTCAGAACTTGGACGTGCACGATCATTGGCAAAGCGAATGGAAACTCAATATTCAGCTCAGCCCTTACCTGGTTTTGATCCTTTTCAATGGATTGATCATAAAAACGTTGTCCGGAAAACATCCTGTACTTGTCTGTCATTTTGTTTTTTTAACGATGTTCTTATTTGCTGGATTTTAAAGGCTAACATGAAGACACCTTGCATAGAGCTCGAGAATTTAGCGAGACAATGGGTTTCAGCATACGGTCAACCTAAAGATACCTCCATTCAAGACAAGTTGAAGGATCTGGCAAATGAATGCTACAGAAAGTTTTCGCTTTTGTCAGGAGAACGATGCGAAGATCGGTATTTGGTCCTTGATGATGTAAATTCTGAGGCTAGATCGCCAACCAAATCTGAAGGAAGCCTACAACATCAAGAGAGTTGCAGTGCCTGCCAAGTCAAGGAAAGGAGGAATGAAGGAGTATCAAATAAAGAACCACCCCTCAAAGAGTTGTATAATGTCACCATCGCTCCAGTGGCCGATCTATTTGAAGGATCTGAGATCGTTGTTGTCCCTGATCGTTCTCTGTACAGAGTTCCATTTTCTGCATTGATGAACGAAAAAGGAGAATTTCTAGCTGAAAGGTTCAGGATCCGGTACACTCCATCTTTGACGACTCTCAAGCTGATCCAAGACAGTCCTGCAGATTATCACAGTGAGACAGGAGTTCTCCTTGTTGGCGATCCTGATGTTGGTACACTTGATCGATTACCATGTGCTAAAGAAGAAGTTGAGATGATTGGAAAGCTTCTTAATGTTCATCCTTTAACTGGTAAAGAAGCTACCAAGGAAGCGGTTCTACAGAGGATACACTCTGTAAGTCTCGTTCACATTGCGGCACATGGTGAAGAAGAGAGAGGTAATATCGCATTAGCTCCATCCAACCGTGAGAAAGATGACTTTCTGTTGACAATGGCCGATATCTCAGTAGTCAGATTGCGAGCCAAGCTTGTGGTGCTCAGTTGCTGTCACAGTGGAAAAGGCCACATCAAAGCTGAAGGAGTTGTAGGATTAGCTCGAGCCTTCCTAGGATCTGGCGCTCGCTCAGTGTTGGCATCTCTCTGGGCCGTGGACGACGAATCAACAAAGGAGTTCATGAAACATTTCTACGAACACTTGGTGGATGGGAAAAGTGCCAGTGAATGTCTTCATGAAACCATGAAGTGGATGAGGGAGAACCCTGGGTATTCGGAAGTTAGAAAGTGGGCACCATTCGTGCTGATTGGAGATGATGTGTCAATCAAATTCGCCAAATGAATATAGGTAAGATACATTTTACAAAATGAAGGGTTAGGCCCGCTTTAGGCCGGCTCAGTAAAGGGCTAAGTTGTTTTCACACGTAGTGAAATGCGAAACTATATTCGAGAATATTCTATTACTTGATGTTTCGTTTATTAAAAAGGCGTTGCCTCTCACTGATAGATGTATTTGAAGACAAGAATCGTGATCGACATCAATTCTATACAATTATTTAAAAGCGTTGGGTTATTATGTATCAAACCAGTTTTTTCAGCAGAATCGAAGTGAGAAGGCCTGCCTATGATCTGTTAAAAGAATCCGCTAACCTGTAAAAATCGATTGCTGTAAAGACCCGCCACAGAAGTAAGTTTACAGTGCATTGACGTTTTCTGAATTTAGCTACGCGATGAAGACTTGATTTGCGTTTGTTCTGATCGCGAATCATAATTATATTTCTTTTAGATCGAATAATTATCAAAGCTTGGCTTGATACTAGCGGTTTTTGGTTGTTGATTCACCCAACCAGTTCCTAAATGGAAACACTGTAAAAATCACCATGACATTACCAATTCAGACAGGGACCGCGCAGAGGGAGTGGCTGGTGGGGCTTCACATCAAACTTCCCCCCCTTCCTTCCACTTTTTTTCACTAAAACTTGTTCTTCTAAGCATGCCCCCATCCTCTTTTTTAGTGGCCGACCGACCTCCAGCCGCAATTACCACGACAGACAGCACTTTTTCAAATTTTATTGCAATAGAAGACGAAGAAGGCGAGAGTTAGAAAGAATTACTACACAAAATGACTTAAAATTTTTGGCAGATGAAGCTCACCAAAGTTAAGTTACAAACCTCACTAGTACAAATCGTGTCCAGAATCCTACCCGTCTTAATTACTTCACTCTGTATGAAGCAGTTTATGAGAATGAGTTCACCAATCGACTGACAAATGACTCCTCTTGAGTTGGACCGAGAAGTCAACGAAAGGTTATTGATAACAACAAAAAAAAACGCTTTCAAAGTATGCCTGCCCCATTGCAACATATGAGGAAATGTAATTTCTGACGTTTGAGTGACATGGGAACGAAATAGTCAGAAATTAATATTCTGACAGCACTTTGAAGAGGTTCGCGTTGCATCACGGTAGTTTCGTATTATTTAAGCGTTTCGCGGGAAAATTTAGCCATTCTAGGTCGGTCAGTCCCAGGTTTGACCACCTTCTTTTTCATATTTAATGTAGTTTTGTTTTACAACTCTCTGTAAGATATCACTGCTGTCATTCAATTTTCTGTGTGATTGGTAGTGTAACTAGGTTTATTTTAGTTACCCTTTCCTCGGGGTACAGTGCTGCTGTATTAGATGAGGAATACGTTTCCACATATTTTTGGCCACTTCTAAAGAGTGGTTTTTTTAGTGGTTTTTCGCACAGGCTATTTTTGTATAATCGTCCAGTTTCAGTGAATATTTGCAGTACATTGCAGATTGTAGAAGGGTGCGTATACTACAAGACTGACTGACTCATCCTAAATAAAATTTCACATTGAATATCTCGCCTGGGTGTAGTCAGAATCATGAGGAAGCAAAGGTGTTTTTTCGGAGACGGAATTCTACTTTTGTTCGTTGTTTTTTCGTTTGTTTTGTTTGTTTTGTTTGTTTTTTAAGAGAGAGAGACTACTTTATCACTGAAGGAGAGAACCCCAGGCGTCTCAACACGGTAGACTGTTAACGATACTGTTAAGAAGGGACTCAAAAAGGAAATACAAGTTTAGCTGAACCTTTCGTACATTTGAGGATATTTTTTTAATTCTATACAGTGAAATATATGAAGTTCATATATTTTAGATACAATGAAATATATGAAGTTCATATATTTTTTAATTCTGTAGTGTTTAATCCCTATGAGTTTTACAAGACGCGTACCCTCCATTTGAGAATATTTCCGTACTATGTTCAGAAGTGCAGCTCAATAGTATGCTTAGAACTGCAAATTAAAGACGAAAACAGAGAAGAAAAATCCGGTTTGAGACGAAAAAGAAGACAAAAAGGGAAATGAACGTAACATAGTGAGTGTGAACTGCTATACTGATTTGAGGGTCGACTCTCATGATAAATAAACCTCGTGTGCCAAACTAAAAAGTTAAAGAGGCAAAATTCGTTGATCATTCACCTTACATAAAAACTTGAAAAGAGTTCTTAAAAAATTAAAAACTAGGCCTTGAATTATTCAAGTCCGTTATTTGTAAATGATCCGGTTTAATCTTCTATCTACTAAATACCGACTAGATCCTGGTTCTTAACCTTGTCATAAATATGTTCTTAGCTTTAATATCATAAAGAGACTCATTCCATAGGAAGATTTAAAAAGAGATTTTTTCTCGCAAGGTATTTTACCATAACTTCGGGTTTGAAGCATTTTTGACATGCCAATTGGGAACACCTCAGTCGAGGAACAAATGAACTTTGAGAAGTAATCGAAATTTTATCGCTTAGCTCAAGATTTTACTCTAGTAATTGATATCAATAGCGACGGCTTCAGACCCCCCCGCGCATGCTATCGAGTTCAACTCCTCCGAGTGGTTAGCATCCTATTTCTCCTTCATCATTAAGGTCAAGAGGATTGAGGAAATGATCACTAAAGAAAGGTGCATAAAGCTTATAATCTCTTGTCATTATATAAAGGAGCTCTTGATTATTTCACGAACTCTCTTTAACAGCACCTCAGGAAATGTACAGAGAAGAGTATGGAGAATATGCATACTGATATTAGGGTGTGAAAGGTTAGACCTTTAGGTCAAGCAAGAAACTGGAGAATTCGCGTCGCGTCCGAGTCATGTCCAGATTTGCGCTTTTTCGCCACCTGAACTATGATATAAGGTTTGTGTGCTATTGAATTAAAAAAAAAACTTGTGTGCTGTTGAATTAAAAAAAACTCTCAATAATGATAATAATGATAATAATGATGATAATAATAATGATAATAATAATAATAATATTAATAATAAAACAAAACAACACCCAGGATACAAGATCTCACAAGTAAACGTCATTATAGATGTACTTGGAGGATGGTCTAAAGCTATGGAAACTGAAATGAAGGGCATCTTTGGTACAAGATACAAAGAAATATTGCTGAGAGTGCAGAAAGCTGTATTAATAAGTAGCACTCTGAACATTGCAAGAACATTTAAACTGATTACATCGTAAGAACTTTAAGGACATTACAATTTGGTTTTTATGAACAGTATTTTCTGAACATTTTAAGTAAAGGATATTTTAAGAGCTGATCAGTACATCATAAACATTTAAAAAAAAAACATCTTAGTATTGGGCCAATTGACACTTTTATTGTTTTATACTGATCATTTATATTTAAGTAGTATTAGTTATTATTATAGTTAACAGTCCTGTCATGCAGATAGGTTACGAATTTTCGCCCTATCTTGCTTAGCTTGCTAGCATCCAAACGTGTATACTGCATAATAACAATAATAATAATAATAGTAATAATAATAATAATAATAATAATAATAATAATAAACATAATAATAATCTACAAAGCCCGCCAACAGGAGATACAAGCAAAGGTGGCTGAGGAGAGATGGCAACGAAAACTTATCGAGAACAGATGGGATGACGAGAAAGTTAAACTGGAGGAATGCTTTGCGTGGCTTTCTTTGTGGAAGAGTGTCCCAACGCATACCATCGCGGGAGTCCAAGAGCTCTACCAACAGCTGTTACCTACCAGGGTTTATAACAACAGAAATACAAAATCGCAAGTCACTGACGAAAAATGCCGCCTACGCGGGGATTCCCTGGAGAATGTGCAGCACATCCTATCTGGATGTAGTGCATTGGCACAGACTAAGTACCTACAGGGGCATAACAATGCTCTCAAGATGTTATTCTTTGAAGTCCTCAGATCTTTGGATCTCATTACTAAAGTTGAACCGTGGTTCTCACAAGTCACCCCCAAGCCGTTGTATGAAAATGAGCATGCGACCGCCTTTTGGGACGTTCCGTTATTCGCTGACACAACTCAAGCAAAAGCTAATAGAATCGACGCCACAGTCATTGACAAGACCAGCAAGCAAGTCAGAGTGATTGAAATGAGCTGTCCATGGCTGGAGAACAGAGAGTCTAAAGATTTTGAGAAGACAACGAAGTACAGTCAACTGAGACTAGAGCTGACGAACCGATACCCTGAGTACAAGGTTAATCAGTATAACATCATCATGGATGTCCTTGGGGGCTGCTCGAAAGAGGTTGAGAGAAATATTAAAGAGCTTGTAGGAGACAAGTGTGAATTAATTATGCACCAAATGCAAAAGGCAATCCTGTCTAGTTCGTTACACATTGCTAGAATGTTCAAGCTGAGCATTTAGACATCTTTAGGAATTTTGGACAACCATTTTGACGGAAATTTTATCTTGTACATTTCCGAGATTTTATTACATATCTTACGGTTCTCATAGGAAAATGGCCAGCTATATGACCGATACGTATGATGCACGATCCTCGCAGTAGAGAGCGCTATACATGAACGATGTTTTTCAACTTATGAACAGTTTTATTTTGTAATTAAGACGTCCATAAAGCCTTGAGGATTTAATTTATATATTTTTACGACACTCTTATCAAATTATTTTTCATCAGGTTTTCTTTTTTTGTGTATGTTGGTTTGCTTGCTTTTCTTTTTTTTGCGTGAATTGTTGTGTAATTGTTGTCATAAGTTTTAGTCGATGCTGTGGCTGGTTACGGTTTGCCGCCCAGCCTAAGCTTTTAATCTTTACTCTGGGCATCAAGACGTTTGTACTGCCATAATAATAACTATAATGATAATAATAATGATTATTATTATTATTATTATTATTATTATTATTATTATTTGTGAAGGTGTAGTCTGGTTGTCCGGGTGAGTGTAGTCCTGAGAAGGACTGTTGTCGGTGGTAGTGACTGACGTTTCGACAACCTGTGCGGAAGTCATCATCAGAGTCAAGTGAATGATTGTTGTCAGTAGAATGTTCTTATTCCAGTTCGTGTGAAATGATCGGTTGGTTTTGCCGTGATGTTATTGGCTGTAAGACTCAAGTGACGTAAGTCGGTCGTGATTGGTCTGTTTCGATCTGTCGGTAAAGTTAGGTCGTTCTTTTTCGGTCGTTTGTGATGTTTATGTCGTGAATGAGTCGTTTGTATGG